CGTAAAATGGCCCGGCGGCGTGAAATTTCGACGGAGATATTGAAAGAGGATGCTGTCGGACCAATCCCAACCATTTCCAGCGATTTTTATTTTTTTCATTTTTGGCCAAATTTACAAAGGCTATAGCCTTTGTGTTTTTAGCGAAAATTGATGGGTCCGGATTTCGACGGAAAAGTAGTCGAATCGACAGGGGTGAACTACGGGACCACAAAACTACCTTTGGTTCTGTCAGACCCCAACACTGTCCAGAGAAACTTGCGTTTTAAGGGTGGTCTTTTGAATCTGGCAGTCTGCGTACGATGGGCTGCCTACCTCGCAGGCGAACCGGTCTAAAAAACAGGCGTATCTCACCTAAAATGGCCCGGCGCCGTAAAACTTCGCCGCAGAGTTTGAAAGTAGGGGATTCAATCTGACCAATCCCAACTATTTCCGGCGATTTTAATTTTTGGCCAAATTTACAAAGGCCTTTGCGTTTTTATCGAAAATTGATGGGTCCGGATTTTGACGGAAAATGGCAGCAGAGGTGACCGAGGGGACCACAAAACTACCTTTGGTTCCGTCAGAAACCACCCCTGTCCACAGAAACTTGCGTTTTAAGGGTGGCCTAATCTGGCGGGCAGCGTAAGATGGGCTGCCTACCTCGCAGGCGAACCGGTCCAAGAAAAACAGGCGTAACTCACTTGAAATGGACCGGCGGGGTGAAACTTCGACGCAGAGATTGAAAGGACCAATCCCAACCATTCCGAGCGATTTTCAAATTTTTCATTTTTGGCAAAATTTACAAAGGCGTGGGTCCGGTTTTTGACAGAGGAGTACTTGAATAGATACCATAGGGACCACAAAACTACCTTTGCTTCTGTCAGAAACCACTCCTGTTCACAGAATTTTGAGTTTTAAGAGCTGGTCTCTCTAGTATGAGTGGGTAGGCTACCTAAGGCGCACTGGCTAAGAACTCTGCTGTAGTGGGCCGGCACCATGATATTTAGACAGAGCAACTGAAACGGGAGTTTGCCCGACCAATCCAAACCAATTCCAGCAATTTTCCAAATTGCCAAGATTTTTAAAAGACATTTTCAATGATAACAAATCAGCCAGGATTTTGACGGAGGAGAATTGAAATCTACAACAAAGAGCCAAGGCACCACAAAAAACATCAAAAACCACACTTTGATGCACATGAAAGGAAGCTCCTCATAGTGTCCGTACAGAGACAAACTGGACCAGCATTGGCGATTACTGTCATGTCAACTCACCTATTCTTTTGGGTAAAATGACTCCATAGACTTCTCTTGCTCGTGTCAAGAACATTTCTGGGTCGAGTTCCTACAATCATATTAAACGGTACTTTTAGCGCGTTACATATAATTTACTCATATAGTACACTTTTAAATGCCTCTCCTCGCATGCATCTCTAAATGACCATGGTCTTTCAAATAACTAATTTTGGCACTGGACTATAAGCATTAAGTAAGAGGGGGCAGCTGCAAATTATCTGCAACGCACATTGATTGATTGTTTGCGGGATTACACAAATAGTACCACTCGGTTAGCACCCCAACCAGAAAGTAACAGAGTTTTCTGTTCCACGAGAATAAAATAGAGTAAAATATATGATATGTGATAAAACACTGGCAGGTTCACCCATTTGCATAAGGACCTACAACAGTATTTAACATACTGCATGGATTGGAGGAGTCTACCCATTCAACACCTTTTCAACAAAGCTGACAGTGAGCCAAGTTATTTACATCACGGGCATCATTTACTCGGCCTCAAAAAATAACTAACAACTTAATTGTGCGTGTAAAAATTGAGACACAGGAGCATAACCTCCTACAACAATAACCGGAATGGAACAATTCAATATTCCGGACCGGAAACAAGTGAGCACTATACCTTGCGAATAATAACGAAGAGCGGCGATGTCCACTCTAAAATTCTGGTTAAAATCCTATGATCAATAATTATATGATATGAGTAAGTATTATCGGTATTTGGCAGAAACGCCGATCGTGACACTGTTTGTTTACGTTTCCATAAAGGCGCGGGAAATGCGCGGTGGGGGTGGGGAGGAGGACGCGGCACGGCAAAGGGGGAGAGCAATAATTACGGCAGACTCACCGACATATCGTGGTCGCGGGATGTGATTCTTTCCTGGGGTAGGCAATCCCGCCTCGCTTGTCCAGGATGTGATCCTTTGGGGATGCTTCCCGTCCCGTGCATCGTTGTGTGGCTCCAGGGGGCAACGCCAGGGAAAGTGCCATGTGACAATGACAATAATAAAATGATCAGGATAATAAACTATTATGGGCGATTTGCTATTAATAATAATTGTATTTAGCGACTTTTAAGAAATATACACCAGCCGGGGTACACGACGTTTGGAGCCGAATCGAATTTGTCGTGGGAGTGTCATCGGCGTGCTCGGGAGGTCCCCAATAATGACGTCCCCGGGGGCCTGGACGACATCGGCACTACCAGATTTGGACTCAGCGTGCGAGAAAACCCCCGAACAGTCATCCTGGTCGTTCCGAGGTTGACGGTCGGTCGGTCAGTCGGCCCAACAAACCGTATCTTATTTTGACAGCCCCAGATCCCAGAGCCGTGGCACACTACAGCCGATCCACGGCGTGGCGCGAACCAAGACTTGTTCAAAAATAAGTTTATTTACTGATGTTAGTGAAAATAGCGTAAGTTATTTCATTTACCCTTTTCCAGGCCCGGAACTGCAGTTAAGGCACTTCGTTTGCCCTCCTGATGGTATCTGTACCTAATTTAGCTCTTATTTCAACAACTGCCACTAAATGAAATAACATAATTTAATTAACTACTTCACTCATTTTATTTACTACTAGCTAAAGGCAAAGGCCTTTTTGGTCGAGACGAATTAGAAGGGAAAAACAGACAAATTGAAAGAAAATAGACCAAAAAAGAAAAATAAATCTGTCATCACATTTATCTTTAAAATGATATTGTTATGTTGTGTGAACAGGTTTTTGCATTAAGTGTCCAATAACAAAAACATGAAATATTTCGTGTTATGTTCAATGCATAAAGTCATTAAGAAAAATAACAGATAACAAATAACAGAGCCATTGTTTCTGCTGTTTGGTCTTGGATCAATATTGGTTCAAGGTTTGGTCCTGGTTTATGCCAATAAAGTAGCATTCATTGCAAAATATTTGACTGATAAACGGCTGAAGGCAGGAATAATCTGTAAAAAAAGATCACCCAGAAAATGGTTTCATTGAATCGACAAAGGCTGCATTAAAACAAAGACATTTTTTACTGAAAGTACACTTAAAGAAATGTTTTTGAATGGAAGCAGCTTGTTTTGATCCAAAGGAGGCCTTCTTTGATTCGAAGATGTTTGGTTCAATTCAAAGAAAGAATCTTTACTTTAAAGAAATATGTCTTTCATCCAAAGAAAAACGGCTAAACTAAAGTTTCTTGGATTTGAAAGTGTTGCTTCAAATGTATATCTAAGAAACGATCTTTGGATTAAAAATAGCACTTGATTATTGTCTTTAATTCAAAGAAATAAATTTGATTCAAAGAAACTCTCTTTTCAATTTAAAGAAGGCTGCTTTGATTCAAACCAATTTCTTTAAATGAAAGAACTGTCTCAAAAGAAAAACTTATTTCAAATCAAAGGGACGATTCTCTGGGTGATAGATCTGTTCATCTCTGTGAGTCTCAAGCATTGGAGTTGTCGTCTGCTGCACTTTAGACAGCTAATCAAAAGGAACAGCATGGGTCAAATGTCTCAGTGACGATATTTTTCAATGAGAAAAACGTTAAGTCTGTTATAGGCTAATGATGACAACTTGATATCTTGTCAGGCAGGCGATCTTAGTAAAAAAATTTGATTGGAAACGCTCCCCCCGGGGGGGGGGGGAAGGAATTAATTCTTGTCAGCTTTATAGTTTTTGTTGATGCTCTAATATTGTACTACATACGAAAACTTATTTTTTTCCACTCCGGTGCAGCAGAAGTCAGGGGGACTCCCAATAAGTAAGGTTATGGCAAACTCGTAAAATTCCCTGACATTCGGTTGGGGCTGATTCATAGTACAATATGCAAAAATTGTGTAATATTTGGTGGAAACAAGTACGCGTATGGAATTCCGCTTTGAATTGTATCGTATTCACTGCTTTCCCTTAGTTTTACGACAAAGTCGTGAAGTTCGGGAGGGAGAGTGGGGAAGGGCGGAGGGAGGGGAGGAGGGGGTTCATGCCTGGAACAGGTAAGGTAACCGAGGGAACTCAAAAGCACCGAACAAAGTTTTTTTTTCAAAGACAATACTTTGGTATAACAACGTTTTAAAATGTTTTATTTAATTTAAACTCGTTATGATAAAGTTTTTCCATTATCAAGAGACTAGATTTCAAGACATTTGGAGTCCCCAATGCAGTTTGTTTTTTGCTAGAAGGTTGGTAGCTCCCTCGTGAAATGTCGGGACCGTGGGCCTGTGCTCGACACAGAATCAAAGGTCGAGAGTTTGGTTCAGTATAGTTCAGTTCTAGTTCTGTTTTGATCTGTTGCCTCTCCCAAAAATAGATAAATTAGGTTCGGACAAACGAGCTTCGGACAATCGGAGCCGTCTCGAACTGTGCACAGTCAACAATAGTCATATAGAGCTTAAAATTTTAAATAGAACAAAAAAGTATACTCTTATGCAAACATAACATCGTATTTTCTGACTTCTGGTTGTAACCTCGGATACAGTCCCCACAATTTTCGTGTATTTCAGGTGGGATTCTAATTTTTTGTACACATTTAATGAGTAATGAATGATAAAAATCTAATATAGATATTTCTCGATCTTTACTTGTATTTCGGTCCACTGTGTTTGTTGTGCTCCAGCTGCACAGAGCCAGCATGCGGCGTGCAAGCTGCACTCGCCTCTGTCAAGCGATACTGACTTTGTTTCCGCCCTCCTTCCTTCCTTCCAGCTGCCAGTCTAGCCCCCCCCCTTCCCCTCCCCTCCCCGCCCTTCGGGGCGTATGCGACCCAGTGTGTGAGCCCTGCCGCCCCTCAGTGTCCCCGCGGCTCTCTTGCGCTCTCCTCCTCCTCACCATGCACACGTTCGCGCTGCCGTTGCTGCTCGCCCTCCAGGCGTCCGCAGGTGAGCGCCGTTAGCAAACGATAACAGTCGCCCCCCGACGTGTGTAGGTCCGGGAAAGCTCGGGAGGCTTCTCGGTGGTGCGGTGGTGACTTCCGGTGCTTCCGGTGCATCGCCGCGCGCGCGGGACTACGAGTGGTGGTGGTGAGTGTTGCAGGTGCGGCGCAACAGGACGGGGAGCCGGTGGCGTGCGAGAGGCACCTGGAGGACAGCTGCTGGGGGGACGTGACGGCGCACGTCGACTGCCTCCTCAACCCGCGCAGCGCCCGGAGCCGCGAGTGCGAGCGTGGCACCGCGGACCAGCTGTGCAGGTGAGCGCGGCACGGGGGTGGGCGGGAGGGTGGTCTTTATGGGGACGCCGGGCACTGACGCCCCGAGCGCTTCTCTCCAACGCTGCAGGTCCCTGGAGGACGCCCTCCGCTGCTCCTCCGAGATGGACCCCGAAAGCGCCGGCTGTGTTCTCAAGTCCGGCCAAGAGAACTTCGACTTCTGGATCCGCGGCCTCGAGGCGGTCAACACGAAGCTCTGCTTCGAGGGGCTGATGGCGAGTGAGTACTACCCCCCCCCCTCCCCCCAAGCCAGGAATAAGAGTCGATCGACGTCGACGTTGCTCGAAACAGGCGATTTTGTCACTTAAATCGATATAACGCGAGGTCGGATGTCGGATCGACGCGTCGATGCAATTTTCATTTACGACGACTGCCCTCCTTTGAACTTTGAACCTCCCCGAGTGTCCTCCTCACCCTTCACGGTCCCGTCCGCTGGCTTTCGCAGACATCGTGTCGCACGCCGTGTGCTGGGACACGCTGCGCTTCACGCGCTGCGTGCAGCACTCGGTCGAGCAGCTGCAGCACGTCGTGGACCTGGCCTCGCTGCCGGCCGGCGCCGAGAGCGCGCCGCACCTCGGGCCGCGCGAGCACTGCCACCTGTCCATGCTGCGCGTGGCCAAGTGCGCGGCGCTCGCCGCCTCCAAGGACCCCGCCCCCGACGTGCCGCCCCCGGACGACCACCCCGCCGGCGTGCCCTTCAACTTCTGCGCGCAGGCGCCGCCCGTCGACGTCCTCAACGACCTCCTGGCCGCCTACTTCTCCGCCAGCGAGTGCGGGGGCGCGTGTCCGACGCCTCCATCGCAGCGGCAGCAGCCAACCCCCGCGGCGCCGGAGCTGCCGCAGGAGTCCGAGGCTGAGCTCGGCCACAGACCAACGCCAAAGGAGCAGCTGCCCTTCCTCTGCGGCTCAGCCGCCTCCGCCGCTCACTCCACCACCTTGCTCTCCATCGTGATCGCGGTCTTAGTAAAGTTTCTGTAGATGGCCGCGACACGTTTTCTTTGTCACTTTGACCCTTGTGCCAACCCACGGGACGGATACGTCCGTTTTCCTCAGATTCATTCGCAGTCAGTAGCTGAGCTGGGCTCCTGCGGGACACAGGGTGGGCCATCCCGCAGTACACGCGTGCAGTGCAGGTGACATGTTGCCTACCCACCAGGCGCTATGAGAGCTTGCATCTGCTGAATATGGCAGGTTCCGTCACGGCGAATAATGGACCCTAATCGTGAAATGTGTCAGCGATAGTGAACATTCAGACGGAGCGATGCGCTCACTGCTCATCAGGAAAAGGTACCAATTTCAAGCCAATGGTGCGCATTTCCGCTCATGTCTATGTAGCGGGGAGGTGCATGTAGGGCTGTGCGATATGCAGATTTTGATACCGCGATATGATATCAACCATGTATCGAGCATCGATGCATCGGGTCTCGATAATATCGAGTGATATCGCAATATTGAACCATATCGAGGAACGATAAGTCAGAAAATTTCCGACATATCGCGATTTATCGTAATACCGAGCAGCATGCAACATCGATAATTCGATATCGCGATATTTCGGGGTATCGGGCAACCTCGACATTTCAACATCGATATAAGGAGAATATCTAGCCCTCGATATCGGACAATATAGTATCGATATCGAAATATCGTGATATCGCACAGCCCTAGGTGCATGCCATATCGTGATGTCGGACAACAATCGCTTACAGCAACGCAAAAGCAGGCATCTTTCTTTGCGTGCGCTGCTGATATCAGAGCAAGACATAAAAATAGGCTCAACTTTAATTATTAACAAATCATAATCACAATAAAAAAAAACGTTTAGAGTTCGGTTTATGTAGAGTGAGATCAGAGTTACGCGAGGCGCCCGTCTACGGCGCCGGTGGCGTAGCTGAGCTAGGCTCCTGCGGGACTCAGGGTAGGGCATCCCGCAGTACACGCGTGCAGTGCAGGTGAGATGTTTGCCTACCCACCAGGCGCTATGACAGCTTCCATGTGCTGAACATGGCAGGTTCCGTCGCAACGAATGATGGTCCCTAATCAGCATCAGCAGCGGCTCCAAGTTGTTATTTGACCTTGTGTCAGCCGCAGCGGCAGGTCGCGTGGCGCGTGTCAGCGCCGTCAGCTGATTTTGAAAAGTAGGCTGCTGCCGTGTTGTCGGCAGCGTCACTGCACGCGGCAGTAGTTCTTGTGGGTGGGTGGGACTAGAGTAACATACACGAAGCTCCAGCGGTGGCGATGGCGCCAGCGACAATGTTCCGTTGTAGCCAGAGTCTCGCCTGAAGGGTACAGCTGGCTATATTCACAACGCGTCAGTGAGCCTTGGCCTTGGTGCGGCGCCGTGCCCCGCCCGACGAGCAGAGGGCCCCGAGGAGGCGGCGGACGAGCCAGAGCGCGAGGCCCACGGCCAGCGCGGCGGCCGCCAGGATGTCCAGCATCCAGACCTCGTACCAGCGCAGGCGCAGCGCGGGCGAGCGCAGGTGCGGGGCGCCGCCCGTGCGCGCCACCATCTCCACGTACCAGGCCGCGCGCTCCACCGGCGTCTCCTTCTGGTCGCGCACCGCGTTCTGCACCACCTTCATGTTGGCGCGGTACCTGCGTGGGCGGGGAAAGTTTAGGATGTAATAGCGAAGTTATAACAAGTAAGTGAGGTTTTTAGTCGAAATTTGCACCCATAGGCAAAGGATATGTCAGGTGTGTTGTTGGGTGTTAGGGCAGACACTAGAGAGACTCAGAGCGAGAGAGCCGTCAACTCGAGGTCATGGGCGCTGCGCTGTGATTGGGCCGGCGCTGCTATGCGCTGCGCTCGCTGGTTGGCCGGGCGGACGTGCCGAATGCACCCCGACGGTCGTTCGGACGACGTTCGGCAGCGCCGCCGGGCGCACTCCGGTACAGCGCTGCCGCGCATCTGTGTCGCCTAACCCTAGGAGGCTCGCTGGAGCCCGGCGGGCTCCGGAGGGTTCGCAACTCCCTGCCTCTGTGAGGCCAGATGTTAGGCTGGCCGACGGAGCCGCCCAGTGCCGGTCCAATCACAGCGCAGCGTAAGTTGACGGCTCTCTCCCTTTGAGTCTCTCTAGGCGGACACGTACTTCGGGTTGTTGATGACGTCAGTGAGCGCCTCGTAGAAGGCCTCCTCGGTGGCGGTGCGGTAGATCACCGTCCGGCTGATGCCGATCCTCTCCCCCTTCTTGGCGTAGCCCAGCTGATCGGCGAAGAAGGGCATGCCGAGGATGGGCACGCCGTGGTAGCTGGCCTCCTGGGTGCTCAGCCCGCCGTTGTGGGAGACGAAACAGCGAATGTTGGGGTGAGCTGTGTAGCAAAGCGTGTGTGTTGTGCTCAAAATATGCCGTCTCGTGAACTGTTTTGGTACTCGGTGAGTGGTTCGCGGGAAATGACACGCAAAGACGGGGGACCTATACCTAGAATGTCATTCTGCGGCAGCCACTTGGAGACACGAACGTTGGGCGGCAGCTTGTCCAAGATGTCGTCGTCCTCGTACTTCCACAGCACGCGCTGCTTGATGCGCGCGAACGCCCTCAGGATGGCGTCTCGACTGCCTTTGTTGAGGCTGGCCGCCCTGCTCGACAGGTAACCAAAAGGACATTGAATTGCCGGGTGAATCCTCAACAAACGGCAGAATTCGGTCGGCACACTCTTATTTTCCTTTGTAGATAATTGATAAGAGTAATCTTACCTGACGTTGGTCCCGAAAGACATGAACACGAAGCCGTGCGGCGCCGCCTTCTCGTTGATCCACTCCAGGATGTCGGCGGGCAGGGGCTTGGGGGGCCGGGCCTGCATGCCGCCCACCTCCACGATGCTGGGCACCAGCGGCATGGCGCCGTGCAGCGCGGGGTTGGTGTTGACCAGCGAGATGGCCACGTCCTTCTCCAGCTCGGCCAGCGGCGGGGCGCCGGGGAAGTTCTACAAAGGAGGAGGTTGCATGATGCACGGCGGTTGAAGTATATCGAGCTCGAGTAGTTTTTACCATCGAGTCGATACGACTATTTGAGTTGTAATTAACAAAATTTGGTTTCTGAAACCGAATAAAATTTAGCTACCCCACTTTAAACTAATTATGGTCGCACGTCGTTCCAATCAAACTAAGTCAGCTTGACCAAATTATTTCTTCACCTCGGATAAAATGGGCCAGCCCCTCTTACTGGCAAATGCCTGATCCGCGCGATTGTCTTTACCTCGGCGATCATCTTGTCCACGTCGGGCCTGTACACCCAGTCGATGTACGTGGTGAAGCCGATCCAGCGGTAAACGCTTTGTAGGCGCTCGGTGAAGGTGAGGGGGTCGCCACCGTGCGCGCCCACTCCGGAGTAGGGGAGCAGCGAGGGGAAGTAGGGGCTGCCCATGAGCGTCAGCACTTCCACGGGCAGGTTGTAGGCGGTCATGGCGACCATTGGCTTCCTGCCAATGACGTAGTTGAGCTGCAATAAAGTACCGGCATCTTGAAAACTACTCGCAGACTGACCCCCGTAATTGCTCATAACCATTCGACTTCAACACTCTCGAGACAAAACACAGGATGGCGAGTAAACTCACCCCGATGAACGCCTCCTGCATCGGGAAGTCGAGGACGAAGACGTCGAAGTCTGGCTTCTTCTGCTTTAAATGTTTGAGGAGGTCGGCGAATGCCTTCGATTCAAACACAATGTTTGCGGAATCTCTGGAGAATTCGTACAACATCTGGATTTCCTCAAACAGATTGCATTCGTAGACGGTCTCGAGGTCCACGGGCTAGAAGCATAGGAAGCCGTTTCATTGTCTGGAGGCTTGCCCCACCGTTGACCCCAGGTATCAATTGGGAAAGCCACGAGTATTTCATGTTGACACTTCTGACAACTGACAATGACCTATTCGTGGCGGGTGGTGCGTTGTGTACTCACCGTTGTCTCGGCGTATGTCTTCTCGCTGACGACGAAGCTGGTCCTGTTGGGATGCGGGGTCGCCGGCGGTGTGATGACCAGCTCGGTGAGGTGGTGGCCCCTCCGCAGCAGTTCGCTGGCCAGCGAGCTGACCCAGATGTAGTGGCTGGGTGAGGACATGGTGCTGACGAACATCACGTTCAGCGGAGACGCCCCACACGGCGCGAGGGCGGCCAGCGCGGCCAGCGCGACGAGGAGCATGCTGCGCGCAGGGCAGAAAACAAAGACATTTTGTGCTATTATTGTGCAGCTGGTGTTGCCACCTCTACCACCACGTTGTAAATAAACTTTTCAATTTGGCATCTTTCAATTTTTGATTATATAGATCAGAATGCTAAGTCTCGATAAGGAGTTACGACTGTACCGATCTAACTCGCCTTGCTCGTTGGGAGACCCCGGGGCTAAGTGAATTCAAGTAAAAGTGGGTTACTTATTTGGCCATTGATACCCCCAGTTGTCCCTTTGACGGGTTATATGGACTCGACAAACGAGGTAGAGTAACGGACACTAGTCGCTGCAGTCGACTCCACGTATGTTATAGCATAATTATTTTGTTTAGCACGTCGTGTTTTCTTTATGGTTAGGTGCACTGTACACTGGAAAAACAAATATAGCACTAAGTGCCTTTATAAAGGCACAAAAGTGTCAAAAGGTGCTTAAATTTATCACCTGCGGGGCATGTACATTGGATAAAAGTGCCTCTCCAGGCGTACTAATCTTGTAATGCCCTAAGAACCTACAGTCATAACACCCTAATAATTGTGTTGTTGACCCTACCTTTTTTGTGTTTAACACCACGCCGAATACACCCGGTGCTCCGCTGCTAAGTTGAGCACTTATTGCAAGTGTCGGACTGAGAGTGCAAAATTTCCCGTTCAATATGAGTTAACTTTTCTAGCACTTGGACTAAAGACAACACTTACCAAGTGCACAACTTAGCAGGTGAACACACTTGCAAGTACATTAGGATATGCATTAGGATATAAGTTCAGCTAAGTCAGAAAAAGATTCGGGACTCACTCGAGTGGGAAATCACTTGCGAAA